TGTGTTGTGACTATAGACAACACAGAAGTTAACATTCATCCTGTTAGTAATAGTTGTCTATGCAGTTGAAGTCCTCAGTTTTTTTTTAAAGAAACCATATCATAAAATGTATGTGAAAACTGAAAGCCGGTACTTTTTGGAGATACTTGACTTCCAAAGTATAGTTATGGAAATTTGATTATAGTTCAGATAGAAACGTCATTAATGAAATGGTTACTAGTTATTAAGAATGTCAGAAAGCTTGAAATTGAGTTGTTTCTCACATAGTGTAGTGTTAGAAAGAGGCTGTTTACATTTTATTCTGAAAGCTAATATTAATATACTGTAATATGAAGTAAAATTTAAAAGTTTAGTAGAAGATAAATACAGTTTAGATACTTTTTTATATTGCAATTTCTAATAGCTTCATTATATAAGAGAAATGAGTGAATTATTACATCATTTTAAATATTGGCAATGTGCCTAGTAGCTTTAGTTTTGCATTTTAAAGGAAAAGCAGAAATCCTGGCCACTGGGCTTAACATCTAATGAACAGTGTAGTACAAAATAAAATAAGTTTTTTTTTTAATTCAAAAAATAAAGCCCTAGTTTTTTAAAATTAGGAGCCATAGGAATTAAAGACTCCATACCTGTGTAATACGATTACTTTTAATGTGTTAGACAGGGCTTTAAGAGACCCCCTGACCTCAAGAAGTATGCATTATTGGACCCTGTTTTTAAAAAAACCAGGGGTTGCTCAGGAGCGCAGCATCTGTCTGACAAATGCTAGGTCTTGAGTTTGATTCCCAGTACACGCCCCCCAAAATCAGAATTTTCATTTTAGCACTAGTTATTCACTTTAATTCTCTTTTTTCTCCTTCCCTTTATCCTGTTCTTTTTTGCTACCTCTTTCTAGTATTTCAGTATAGTGTCTGACTGAGGTACTCTCTCAGGGTCCAAATTCAGGGAGAGGGTCCCTTTTGGTCTGTGCCTGCACATGTAATGAATGACGTCTGTGCTCCTGAGAGCATCTGGAATTGTGGCAGCTAAGTGATTATCATTTCATGACTTCTTCTGTCTTCTGAGTGGAGAGTGGTATGAGGAGAGCTATCTCTGTATTTTTTCTGCTCTGAAGGTACCTTGTTACACTTGCCATGTATATTGGCAGAACTAAAATGATGGGAAAGTATTTTCCTCAGAGTTTATACCTCAGACTGAAATCAAAGAAGATTCTAAGACATGCAAGAAGAAGCATCAGTGAAACCAACAGAAAGCTGTAAAACAGATAACTGTAGAGAGTTTTAAGAGTTCTGAATATTGCATAATGTCCCTTCTTACTGAAAATGTTTTCATTCCATCTTGATGAATTAATTCAACTTATAAGAAAGTGGCAATAATGTAATATTGCCCAAAATAGCAGTAATAATTTATGCCCCTCACCAGGTTGTTTGATGCACTGGAAAATTAAAAACAACCTAAGTGTATACTTTCATACTTTTCTTTCTTTTCCTAAAGTTTCTACAGTGGACCTGTCAGTGTTCTTGGGTCAGATCTTTGGTACTCTATTTCTGCCCTCACACACCATCACCAACATCCTTGGCCATAAGAGCCATTGCAAGAAGGGTCAAGCTGAAGGAAGCTGCTAGTGCTTATAGAAATAAGGAAGGGATGTAGGAATACAAGGAAATAAAAGAGGGACTTACATGGGATGGGTTCCTCAGTAATTTCAAATGACTGCAAACTGGATTTTTTTCTTTGTTTTTTATAGATGTGTATTTTCAAAGGTTGAGTCTATTATACCAATTGCTTTTGCTTAAACTTGTTTTTGATAATTATTTTATCTTCCATATTATTGTTCCAAATTCTCCAATTCTGTAGTTCACCTTGCTCTTTTCATTGTCATTCAGCATTTCTTTGTTAAATTTTCTTAACATATAATGAAATTAAATTGTTTAAATGTCATTTGCAACTCAGATTTAATTTTTCTTCTTAGGTATCTTGAAATTCTACCTTTTGTTATTTTTGCCTAATTGTGGCCTTTTTCCATCAGCAGTAATGAAAGCAGTCGATAAAAGTCCATCACTGACTCTATGATTATACAGAAGGTTTGCCATAATGTATATTGGAAGTGTCTTTGAAACCCTTCTCCTGAATGGAAGGTGCCACAGCTTAGGCCTTATGGCCTTCTAATGTTAGATGGTAATCTCATTTAGCATTTTCCCAAAGTGAAAAGAGTGCATTAGGACAGCATAACAAGCGTTGTAGATCAATACAGAGGCAGGGTTTTACCCTTGCAGATTAATCCAAGAAAAATATACCAGAGTCTCCTTCAGGAACTGGGGAACAATTATGTGGATTTGCACTGCTCTTCCCCTCCCCTTCCATCTAATCATCAATACAGGTTGAAATATGTGCAAAAAGGATTTCAGATGATAGCTGCACGTGTCTGAGCACCCTCCCCCACCCACCCACACCAAGAACAGACTACCAGACGGGAAATCAAGGTCTCTGGAAGCGTAGTATTGATTTCTGGTGATAAAAGTATATTTTGACACATTTCAAATCATAAATAACTCATGTACTTTAACTTGCATGACTAATAACTCAGCTCAAGGTAAATGCTTATATGCAACTTACCTTTTTCTGTACAACTTATATCACTTCTCTCTCTATAACTTCCATCATCTGTTTCTAAAGGAGTCCATGCTATTATATGAATTATCCCATTACAAAATAGTCTTTGTAGAAAAAAAGCATATATATATATAATCTTCTTTTTAATGTGCAGATCCTCACTTTACTGCTTCTACTTTTTGTATGTTACTAGAGAAGGACCATGTATCTGGTGAGGTTGTTCTAGTCTTTCTTTCTCATCCTCTTTCCTCTGCATTTAAATCTTAAGATACATTGCAGACAAGGTCAGTTGTCAACACTAGGGTAGAATGTGACTCTGCTTTCCCATGAACTGTTAAAGTGATTAGTCATATTATATTGGACATTTATCCAGATATGGGCTTTGCTAGGGCAAGTTAGTAGTGCCTGTGCCTGTGCTCTTGTAAGCATAGCTAACTCCTTTTAAATGCTGATGTTCATGGTAGGGGATTAGAGAAGTCTATATCCAGAAACATTCCTGGCATCTGAACTTTGAAATCTTAAAAAGAATTGAAACTCCTGGGATTGGATTTAAATTCTGTTCTTAGGTATTTGACAAAGCAGTGAAGATAATGAATAAAAAAGTAAAAGTAATATTATGTAAAATTTGTGAGATCCCCCTCCCCCATGTCTGCTTTCTTTCGAACATAGTAGGAAGTAAATTCCCCCAGGGACTGGTAACATGGTTTGCATTTTTATTCTAGCAAAATATATATTAGCTTAGTATGTTGGATAAAAGTAATGAGGAGACAAATTGTCACCCAGGGGCTTCCATATTGATGGGAAATATTTCCCTCCGTGTTCTCTAGGGGTTTTTTAGACCCATTAAATTTAAAATAATGCTATTTCAAGATTATACAGAAATAACAAATTTAAAATTCAAAAACAAAACTGATAAGAAAGACTAGAAGCATTTTATATTAAACAAAATAATTTGAAAAAATATGAATTCCTAAATTTAAAGTGATAATTTTATGTATTTTGTTTTGTGTTTGGTCCTTATAATCCAAATTTCCCTACTATATTAACAAGAATCTTGTTTTCATATATATGATTTATTTTACTTATTTTGTTATTATTTTTCAAGTGTGTATTATAAGCTCTTTGGAAACATTTACATTTAGTATAGCATGTTTACTGTGAATAATCTAGTTGGTTTTTCTCCGGTACTGGGAATCGAACTCACGACCTTGCGCTTGCCAGGCAGGCGCTTTTGCCACTGAGCTAAATCCCCAGCCCCTACTGTGAATAATCTAAAAGCTGAGATTTTTTTAATGACAAAACTTTAACCTAGGGAATTTTATTATGTTTTTCTTTTACTATTTGTATTCACTCAGAAAATTCATTGCAAGACTTCTGTAAGAGATACCCATATCTAATACCAACGTCAAAAGAAAATAAGGCATCATTCTTCTTGTAATTTATATTCTAGTAAATGTAGTCTAGTAAATTGCATTAGACTATACTGTAATCAGTGTCACCTGCATAGTGAGGGACATTAATTCAGGACCAGAGGATCACTTTAATAGGAATGATAGAGCCCACCAGTGAGGGGGAAGCTAGTGAAAACTACAGTAGGTTGCACTTGAGCTAAGTATTAAAAAATGAGTATTTTCCTGATATTTAAGTGTGGGTAGAGTTTGGGGGCAGAGTATTCCAAAGTCAAGAATAACATGAGCAGAGATGTGAGGAGAAATGTGTGACCTGACCTTGAATGTGATGTGTACAGGCTGCAGCAGTGTGTGGGTTGGGATGGAGACCAAAGAGGAAGCAGGAACCCATCGGGAAGAACTGTGTCTGTTGCCTTGTATTCTGTAAGGGGAGGTACTGGCTTAGATTCATGTAGTAGAAAGAACCCTGTGGAAGACGTGTGGAACAGGAGTAGAGGGCAAAAGCCAAGGGACAGAGACCCATTTAGAGGTCATAGCTTGAATCTAGGACAAAAGTAACTTGGAATTAGTGAGTACGGAGGAGGAGCAGCAGACTATGGGGATCTCCAGCCTTGTGACCTGCCAGACATGGGGATGGGAGAGAAGTGAGGGCTGTGTGATTTCTGCCTCAGGGGTCCAGGATGCAAAGGACTGCCACCATTCCTATAGTCTGGGTTTGGGTTTAGGAGAAGAAGTTACTGTGTCTAGAGTAACTTACAGTGGTATCAGTCAGTGGAACTAATTTCCTAAAATGTATTTACTCAGCATTTTTATCATGGGAAAAATTTGGGTATATTTCTTTAAAATGTGAAGAAAATTATTCCATTAAATGTTTTCCTATATTTGCGACACTTTTATTTAACATTCTGTATGTTCTCCCTTGGCATTATATTCTGAATGAAGACCATTTGTCTCAGTGATCTCTGTTTCTGTTTTCAGGCGGTATGAGTACCATCCGGTCTGTGCTGATCTGCAGGCCAAAATCCTCCAGTGTTACCGTGAGAACACCCACCAGACCCTCAGCTGCTCTGCTCTGGCTAACCAGTACATGCACTGTGTCAATCATGCCAAACAGGTAGGTGTATGCGCCAGGCTGCCTGGGGAACCAGAAGAGTAGAGAGCCCAGTACTTCGGGGCGAGGTAAGGATTTATATGTGTAGAAAAGCTTTATAAACTCAGAGTCCTCCTCATCAAGAATTACTGTGATGTGTCGGTTACTTCTTAACTTCCATCCTGGTCATTGTAAGAGAGTCTGGATTCTTCTTTTGTTGAACTCATTTATTTAGAGAAAAAGATTCTGTAAAAATTATATTTTTATCATTTGCTCTGAACCTTTTGCCTGGTAATCCTTGTAATCCCCAAGGTCATTGCCTCACACTCCTAGACCAGTATTTAAAACCAGCACAAAAAAGGGTGTAAATTAAGTGTCTAGCAGCTTTAAGTCCATAACCAGTAGATAATCTTATATCATTCAATTCCTAGTCAGTCTTTCTACAAGTTTGGTCAAGGGAGACCAGAAATAGAATTTTTGAAAGAATTTCCCTTGCTTTCGTATGTTCTTTTGGCCATCCATATCAGAATAATATGACGTTTGCAGGACATGTGTTTTCTCTAATTTATGTACTTTAGAAAGCTAATGATGACCTTAAAGCAAATTAACAACTCTTAACAGGTCACCTAATTGCCTATCATTTAATTGCTTTAACAGTTGGATGTAGGTGGTTCTGAGAAACAGAAATTGTTAGAAACGATGGTTCTTTCTGCTGACAAATTTCCTAGAGTTGACCTTCTAACCCAAATAAATCTAGTGTTTCAGTTACACAGCATGACTTGCTGTAGTCCAGTTTGCTATTGTTATAATAATATCACTTACTGTAAATTTCTAACACTCAATAAATATCTAATGGGAGAGTTGATACTGTCTGGATAGCTGAAAAACAACAGTAATACTAGTGGAAAAAATAGCCTTAAGATTAAAAGCCCATGCTGCCTTTAAAAGCCTGGTGGCTTGCAGCTTTTATCTGTTTCTTACTTGTAGCAGCACTTGTATAACTCTTAGTATATGCCAAAGTTTCTTTTCTTTAAAGGTCTTTCGTAGATGCTATGTTACTAATGTTATGTTAGTACATTTTATCTGTCAAAAATAGCTTCTGATATGCTCTCAACAAGCCCCAAACCTTCAATATTAATGCTGCCTGAAGCACTTGGGTCTTTCAAATTGACTGGTGGGTTTTTCTAACTTGGTAATAGGCCTTATTGACTACTGGGTAGTTGATAGGAAGAGTGGCTGTGACAAAGTGCCTGTTATGACACTGGTATCTTATAGATGGCTGAAAGGGTAACTACAAAGGTATTTGGAGCACTTACTCCAGCCTGCTTGCCTAGGTTGTGTTGAATCATCTACACCTTGTCCCATAAGATGAATGGTACATGTTTATGGAATAAAACAAAATTAGCAAGTGATAAATGCAAATATGTCACATAGTACAATAGAGTTAGAACCTTACAGGTCTAAGTTGTATCCAAACCCTGTCTTTTACCAGTTCTGTGACCTTGAGGCTTGACCTTTCCTTGTCTGTGAATTGGGGTAATATTGTCAGGATAGCATTTACACAAAGTAGTGAATCTTGTTTTTCCTCTTCTTTCCTCATTTGTATTATTTCATACTGAAACGAGGCAGATCATTCAAAAGCATTAAAGTATTAGTGATAATTTCAAAAGAGACCCTCCTCCTTCCTCCTTCCTGAGTCTGCCATATCATTTGGTATTAGTTACAGTAGTGTGTGTGAAATACCTTTGTTTTCACAGCTTTTATATTCAGTTGCTAGGAAGTTAAATGGTAATAGTAACAAAATAAAAGTTCACAAAAATGTATTCTAAAACAGACGGCATTGAAATGGGCAAAAACCAAGAAACACCACCACTTACATTTCTGCAGTACTTAACATTTCAAGGTCATTTCACATCCATTCTCTTTTATGACAGCCTGAGATGTAAATAGAAATGGTTTTATTTTCGCCATTTTACAGTTGAGAGCACTGAAACCTAGGGAAGTCATGATGGTAAATTTAACAACTAGACCAAATGTACTTTGCCATAAAAACAAAATTTTTTTTTTTAAATTAAAGTGATGTTTGGTTTTTGAACGAGAATGGAATCAAATTCAGTGGTTAGGTTTAGTGTTGATCTTATGGGGAAATTTGATTCATTTCTCATCCAATCCATTTTGCAACCAGAGTTGTGGAAAGAATTAAGTTCACTACTTTTCCTGTGATACCATGTTGACCTTTCGCTCCTTAAAGTATGTCTAATCTCATGACCCCAGTCTACCCCTTTGTTGGGAGAGATGTCAGCAATATATGTGATCCGTACTATTGCAGCCATTCCTGATGGGCCACCTCCCTTACACTTCTGTTAGATCCAGAGAACAGGCCAGACATGTCAACATGACAACAACCCATTAGGTCCTGTTGTCCATTTCCGACATATACAAGGTTTCCCCCATGGAATAATTCCAGGAGCCAAATCCACTCCACTTTTAAATGACTCACAAGATTGGGCTTTCACAGGTTCCCTTGGGCACTGTTGCAGAGACTAATAGATTTTACTGGTAGGAAAATTTCCGGATGTTCCTTAGCTTTACTTTTCCTTTCTTCTTATTCATCTACTTATTCATATCAGTCTTTAGCTAATCTTAAATAATTTCTCATGGGTTGACATGAGACATTTTGACTGTTATTTCCAGTTTATTAAGTTATGAGTTCTTCATTAGGGTAAAGGGATATAAAATTGCTTTAATTATCATTTCTAAGACTTAAAAGCTACTGGACAGCTGTATGAGACACAACATTTAAAAATGAAGAGCAGCAATTGACACAGAATCTCCTTTTTTCTCATATCTGCTTAACCTCATAATTCTCTTAGCTCCTCAAGATTGAGTTATTTCTTCTACCCTTAAAGCCTGGTTCCTGTTCCATCTCATTACACCTGCCTCACATGGGCCCATGGAAAGAAAGGAGCAAGGAAAGCCTGTAAGATTTGTGAACCGAAATGTGCTCAAGTGCAGGGCATACAGAAGGTTAGCTTCCAGATCTGTAGTGTTTCTGCTCACTAGAAAATAGGATTATTGGGAAAAGCGTTGCTGGCACCCTAATCTAATCATGGTAACTAGAGCTTCAGTTTCTTCTTTGATGAACTGAGGGTTTTGAAGTAGGGGAGCCATGAGTGCCTTCCAGGCAGGAAGAAAATAGAGAAGAGAGAAAACAGACTCTACTTTCAGATGAGAGGAAGAAGTAGGGCATAAGCACATGTGTTCATGGGCACACTCAAGTGATGTGGTTGCTGTAATACAGCCAGCATCCCTACTTTTGAGACTTCCAGATTTTTTTGTGACTTTGCCTCCTACATTTTGCCATTACTCGGGAAGATAAGCTGCACCTGTGCTTGGTCTGTCTGCTGCCTGGCCTCCCACAGCAACATATCCTTTTCTCAAGTTCATACATGAGACAGCCCCAGAGAACTCAAGGCCACAGAACAGACAGGGAGATGATAGAAATAGCCTCTCAGTTTCTCCAACATTGGTAAAGTGTAGAATATTTATCATAGTGCTATCTGGCAGAGTGTAGACTGCTGGCTAATAAACTCCATTAAAAAATGTAGAATATCTTGGCCAGCCCTGGCTTGTGCTGTATTGAGATGCCTCTTACACTATGAAGTATGAACCATAGGAGGTAGGGGATTTAGAAGATGCAGCAGAGAGCCAGGATCAGAAGAACCAAGGAAATACTAGAATCAGAAGCAAGGGCTAGCCCCAGGAGATCCCCAAAGGCAATGTGGGGCCTGATGTTTGATAGTACAAGAGTGATGAGTTTATAAACCATAGCAGAGGTTTATGTTGATAGTGCAAGTTTGATAGTACAAGAGTGAAGAGTTCATAAACCATAGCAGAGTCAGTAAGCAAGCATTGGGTCAGAAACCAAGTAGTCAGCCTACTTTAAAGAAGAACAAAACTAAGGAGATCTTGTGAGTTAACCGCCCCCCCCTTTGGGGACCTGTGTTTCCTGTTGACCTCTTTAGGAATGTTAGAAAATAGTAACCTGGCTACATTCAAGAGCATGGCGTGAAGACCTGGGTAAATGTGGCTAGATCTCAATGTGACATCAATCCAGTCCAAGGTTGGTGCACCTACCCAGTCTTCCCATTGCTAAAACATAAATGGTATCTTTAGTACATGGTTTTCCAGAATGGAAGACCACAATATTTTTACGTTTGGAGGAATTTGCCCTGGCAAATTTCAATCATCCTTCTTAGGGACAGTGTACTTTATTGTCCCTGCAAATTGGATTTGTGTTTGACCAGGGCTCACATATCTCCTTTATTATTTTGAGTGTAAAGAAGACTTGAAAACAGAGTAGTAGCTTAGAATCAGAGTTCTATTTTATGGTTGTCTCATCTGAACTCTGCATAACATGTAAATGATTAGTAGACCAGTCTGTGGGAAGTAGAAGCAACTTACAGATCATGTAACCAACCTGATGATTTCCTTTGGGCTACCCTTAGGGCTCAGAAAGTGTGACTCCTAGGTGTAGAAGAGCCTAATTTGGATTCCAAACCCAGGGTCTTTCTCTGTAAAATCAGATCACCAGAATCACATAGCGTTGGAGATTCTGATTCGAAAGTTGGAGGTGGCATTTGGGCACCTAAACTGTCACCACACTTTCTAGAAGACTCTGAGGAGCATAGCTATAGAGTCCATTGGCTGAGATTGCACTGAGATCGTCAGCCTTTCAGAAGTCCAGCTGTGTCTGTATTCTTCCTCGTTTGGAGAGAAGTCATCACTGTCTACCCATCCGAGAAGTCTGATTATACCAACCCTAAGATTGCATTCTTACGCTTGAGAACACACTAGAAGATGGCATGAGAAGAGAGGAGGGCCCTTGAAAAAAGGTCTTCTTTTCCCCTCTTACTCCTACTGAAACTAGGCAGACCTGGGGGAGGAGCCATGCCTGCTGCTCTTAGGCAGGAACTAGAGTTCCGTGGCTAGCTCACAGTGGTGACCAGGCCCTCCTTCAGCTCTCCTGTTTCCAGGCACCCTGCTCTGCTTGAGGGGGTGGGTTCTGATGTGTATGCCACCCGCCTTCAAAAAGCACAAAGATAAATCCAGGTCAACTCTGGGAAGACCCACTGGAGCCTGTTTTCATTGTGTTCGAAGCCTTCTTTATCATCACCTAATGATATTTATTAATCTCCCAGCTGGGCTGCACTACAGAGGACGACACATGAGTGTTTCATAATAGATTTCCCACCCTCCTGGGGGACGGCCCTTTGAATTTGGAGACATATCAAAGCAAACTAAATTTCAAACTTTAAATGTGTTGCCCCAGCCTCTTCCATCATAAAAATCCTTTTCTAAACCATTTTCTGAGAGTAATAGTTTGCTTTATGACATTTGCTCTTTTTTAATCTGAGTCTAATAGAAGAAATATTACCATGGTAATAGATTTTCATTTTTCTTAATAGGTATTTCTTTTCTAGTGCTCATCCTTCAAGAGTTAGAACTGCAATATTGGTGTTCTGTCTACTACTGTGTCAAGTTGTATAAACTGTTAAGTACTTGTAACTTAATTTGAATATTACACAGAGCAGTTGTCACAGAAGATATAAAACAAGATCCAAGCAGAGAAAAGTTAACTTGTGTTTCCTCCAAAGCAGGAAGAACAAAAAACAGACCTGGCTTGGGAGAAGAAACAGACACTGAAGACAAAATAAGCTAGCTAATCAGATTTTCAGGTAGTGAGGAGTGGTGCTCAGTGCACAGGCAAGCCTGGCGTTGTGCTTCTCGTAAATTGAATTTATAGATTACTTTTCCCTCTTACAATTGCCTCATTCTGTCTTTTTTTTCTCATCACAACTCTATTCTCTACCAACCCCCGCTTTTCCTGTCTCTGTTTAGTGAAAACTCAGATACCAGGACTGTGTCCAACTGAGGACACACTCGCGTGTTAGTTTTCCTGTTGTGTACGTGTAGATGTTCCTGCACCTGTACTAGCCTGATTAGGTTCGAAGTCTCAGGGTGATGCTGAGTAAGCTCATCCAGAGAGAAGCACCAAGTGATGTCTTTAAAAACAAAACAAGACAAAACAAAACAAAAATCTATTTTTCATTAAGGTTGCATATCAATCCCAGGTTGCCATAATTTCACTTAAACGTACTGAGACATCCAGTAGCTGCACCTTGTGAAGACAGTCAGTCCCTGCAAGAAAACTGCAATTCAGAAATCAGTTGGCAAGATTACTGTGTAACAAAAATATTTGAGGAAAGCAGTTAAAATCATTTTAATAAGTGGAAATGACACACCACCTCAAGTCTCTCGGGGCACTGTCTGTGGTTGACAGTGCGAGTTGCCAGTTGTTCCACAGTAGCAGGAATCAGAAAGAGATTTGGGAAAAGAGCATAGTTAATCCCTGAATGTGTTCTCTCCTTTTTATAATTTACCTAGTTGTTTACAAAGTTCCTGCGGCCTAAATATGTGAATGATGAGCAACAACAAGGAGCCTTTTCCTCCACGTTAAGTGTTAGCAGTTCCTTAAATGAAGGAAGCGGTTTTTATAACTTGCAAAGCTTCTCCCTCATTCTCCGGGGAATTTCCTATGTTAATTTATGCAGTGTTAAATTTATGCAGTGTTGACATTCAGCCCAACAGCATCTACCTACAGAACCAATCCAGAGACAAGGGGAGAACGTATAAGGTGGAACCCAAGACCCTACTGTGTCTGAGCAGGTTTCACTGCATAGCTATGATGTAGTAATAACACAGAATGTTTTATCAATTTATTAATCTTTTTAAAAATTCAACTTGACATTGTCGTTGTTAATGTCTCTGACAGCAGCGAGGCAGTTCTGTGCCACCTCTGCCACCCAGAGCAACTCAGTGCAATTCAATAGCAGGTTTGCAGACCAGCTGTGGGACATTCTTGTGGTTTCTCCTGTTTCCCAGGAGTCGCATACAAATCCAATGAATCTCTGCACTGTCTTTGAGAATTTGGATTTTGATGCATGTAGCAGGATATGTGGTGAATGTGGTTAGAAGGGTTTTATGTTTTATACTTTACCTATGTTCCAGTAGCCTGGCCAGGGCCAGCTTGTACGGTTGCCAGAGAACCTAACGTGTTAGTATTACATGATTTGTCTGAAAAAGTGCCTCTGTCTATCTAGAGAGAAAAGAATGGTTAAAGAATCCCTAAGCTCTCCAAAAACCCTTGAAATACTGCTTTAATTCTGTGGTAGTACCTGCAAGTTATTTTGCAACATTTGAAAAGAGGCAGATAGGGACATGGCTATCCTTATAACCTTAGGACCTTAGAATATAGCAAGAGGTACAGCTGTGCAGTCTTAACCAGGCAGGCACCAACTTAAAATTCCCTGAGTGTATTCAAGAGCATAGTGAATCTGTGGCCCTAAATGCACACTGATCAAACAGCATCACTCATAAATAGGCCACTATCTTCAGTAACTAAATACCCTTAGAAGGGCTCAGTATAGGTGTTTTGTTCTGCTTCCATTTTGAATTTTAAAAAGGATATCAGGGTGAGGTTGTCTGTACATCAGGAACTTACAGAGCACCCATCCGTGTATCTGCGGAAACTTCCACCTAGATCAAGTCACAAGGGGGTGAGCACAGATGAGACGCTACGACATTGTGACATTGCCAGGAGGTGTCTGTGTCTTGCATGGTAGCTGCTCAGTGTTTTCTTTTCCCTCCCAACACAGAGCTCTTGTGATAATAGGCTTGAGGGATGCCTCGCATTCTGGTGTGTTACAGAGCACCCCTGCTGGACAGAGCCTTACTCTTCTACTGTGCCTTTGCTGTTTCCTCTGGACACATCCAGTGTTTGTAACTTATTTCCTACTGTGTAAATCATCTTCTTTCTGCTTTTCTGTGTGCTCCCTTTAGCTAGTTTGTCTGCTTTTAAATCTATTTGTTGTTGACTCTGGACATAGAATACCTAGAAAGCTATAATTATGAATACTTCAGAGTAATCTGTAGGATAATTTGTCTACTTTTTGCTTCTTTACTTTCCCCAACATACCCTCTATTCGTCTTTCCACTCTGTCTTCTGCCCCCTTTCCAATCTTTTTTTTATTTTTGACCTTATATCTATAGAGACCTTTGGCCTCTCTTCCACAGCCCACAGTTAATCAGGCATTTCCATGTGGACTATCTCACCGCAAGTCATCTAAATCACAAACTCAGTATTTTAGTTGTCTTCCTCTTTCCCTCATTCCTGGCTTCTCCCACTGTCCACCTTGTCTTTGTGCCTCGCCCTCACACTCTCCCTGTCACCAGGCTCTAGCTGTACCGAGGGCCTCACTTTCTATTTTTTATCCCATGTCTGGTGGCTCAGTATATTCCCTGTGGTTTCCAATCTGCCCCTCCCTGGTCTTCTTGCCTTCAGACTGCTCTGTTAGAGCCATTGCACCCAAGAAATCATTCCTATTTAACCTTGCTAGATGTCGTTTTCCTATTTAAAAGCACATTCTCACTTTTTTTCAGTGGCCAGCAGGAAGCATCTCTGCCTGGAGTCCATTCTAGGCCTCTTGTACACTCTTTCTCTCTGTAAATCCTGAGTACACACCCTTTCTTTCAGTGAGGCTTATCTTCCCGCTTGCGCTTTGGGAATTGAGTTCATTCCTGCCTTGAATCTTTGCCTTTGCTTCCCATCTTCACCCCTCCATGTCTCCTAGTGGTGAAAGTTCATCTGAGCTGCCTTCCCTGATTGCTGCAGCTACAGACTGTGTCCTCTGTATTAGGCAGAATTACCCTCTTTTGAACTGTTGCCTTATTCTGGGTGTATCCACAAGAAACTGGAAAAGGGGGTAAAGAAAAACTTTTTTTTTTCAGACATGCTTTTGTTCCTTTTGAATTTACCATGTGCATTTATTACTTAAAGTAAGTTTTAGTGTATATTTAGCAAATAAATAAAATTAGTAAATCACTACTCTGCACTATTCTTTATTTTCCTATGGTTTGTGTGTTAATTTCCCATTAACGGAATGCAACAAGACCAGAGGAGTGCAGCATGGAGCTGGGTGCTGGGGTGGCTGGAAGGTAAGGGCCAGAGAAGGCCCGAACCCGTGAACTAGAAGTATTCTTGGGCTTGGCCTCCCCTCTCCTAGGGAATTTCAGAACTGAAGGGATAAAGATCACTTTTTTCTTTTTGAAGATCTCTAAGAGTGAAGCATACCCCCTGGCGTAGTGGCTACCCAGATGTAATCCAATAGTTACGAATTCTTGCTATTTGCCACCGTCCATCCATGAGAAAATAGAGATGGTCTCTGCAATTCAGAAATGGGTTCCTACCTGCGTCTCTGCCCAGCACTGTGAGCGTCCTTAGAGTAGCTGAGGTCTCTGGGGGAGACACTCATTTCTTCATCTGACAGACTCCCCCAAGAGCCCTTGGCTGTAACCCCTCCCTTCCCTCCCTTCCTTGGGGATAGTTTCCTGTTGTCACTGTGGCCTCACTGGCACATACCCCTGTAGTGAGATGGCAGCCATGCTCCGCACCCCTTCATTCCCCCCACCACACCATCCTGGCTGTGATGCCTTAGGGCATTCCGCTGGGGGGCCGATGAAAGGCTCCTTTGGGGATTAGACCTGATACTGCACCTAGTATTCATGGTGCAGTAGTAATATTTCGAGGCCAGCAAGCATGTACCTCATTTTATGTTTCTGAAGTAGACATCTGAAAAGCAATCTAAATGATACCAAGTAGTTAGCTGCCATCTCCCCCTGCCTGTGTCCCTCCTTCTGGTGGTACAACTGATGCTTTTTATTTCTTTTGCAGAGCATGCTGGAGAAGGGAGGATAAAGTCAACTTTAGAACATGAAAAACTCCTCCAACTTTAATTCCAGAAGCGGAACACTTTTTTTCCGAGTAAGAAAATAATGCACTTAAAGAGACGACTGCTAAAGAGAAGCTCCAGAAAATGAACTCAGCAGAATCATATCATGTTTTGATCAACAACAGTTTGAGAAGCAAGGTCTAGATCAGGAATCAGTCATCAAAGGACACTGTTCTGTACCAGTAAATCCAATTTACAAAAAAATAAAAGAGAAGGGCAGTGCTCTCCACCGTTTTGTACTTTCTGTCCCACTTCTACTGACCACAACGCGTGTCTGCACACCAGGCTCCACCTTTTGGTGACTTTATCACTAACAAAACTGGGCGCCGGTGGGGAGGCTGAGCTAACTGGAGTGGAGAGAGGAAGGAGCAAAACACAGAGCTCCAGGAACAGGTGCTGTGTGGAATTGCCTCGGCTGTGCCTTGCTCCATTCCTTTCTTCCTTTTCTTCTTTGACTAAGAGCTATTTCATTTTAACCTATTATGGTGGTCATGCAAGCAAGAGAAAAAGGAGAGAAAATGTTCCTCTTTTACTGGAAGGATGTTTATGATTACAAATGAAATAAGGCATTTTTATGAATATAAAAAAAAATCTTGGCTTTATGCAGCCTCTAACATGAATACTGACAACTTTACTCACTGTCAATAATAAATATATTTTCTGACAAAGACTGACTGGCATTGTGGCTTGGGGCCTCAATCATTCCTTTGGCTGGGGTAGATGCATAAGGGAAGTGAACTGATTTACAGAGTCACTAATTTGCATTTGTGCCATGTCTTTCCTCCAGAGAGTGCTCAAGTACATGCAGTGAGCCTGAGACACGCAGGTAGTGCTTAGAGTGTGCCTCAGGTAGATGGAGTTCAGTAAGGTGCTTACGAATTGCATGCATGCGACTTTCTTTCTTTGTGATGACTTAAATCATCCTGCCTGGGGCAAGAAGTAGATTAGATGACCTTGGTAGAACCTTCTGACCCTGAGATGCTATGAAAATGTTTTAAAAAATCAACAGTTGAGCTTCACTTCTTTCCAGTTGCTTTGAAACATCCTAATTATAACTCTCCCTTTTTGACAAGGACTGATGGTCAGCCTTGGGTTTGAGTGAGGTGGAAGCTAAATGGGAAGGAGAGCCCTTCTAAGAAACAGGAGAGAGTGCCAAGTGCTCTGTGGTGTCATCTAAATATCTTTTGTTGTGTAGAATTTTTATTTCACTTTTTATTTTGTTACAGAGAGAGATTTTAGCAAAATGATTAAGAATACAGGCTGTGGAATAAAGTGCATCTGTGTTCAGACCCAGCTCTGCTGCCTCCCAGCTGTGGGACCTACCCAAGTCACCTCTCCTACTGTACCTGTATTTCTTCAGGGACCCATAGAAGAACCTGATTTTTAGGCTTATGGTGCAGAGTCAAAGTGTGTATCATATTTGGTCAGTCCCAGGAAGTGTCATGGGACTTAGAGAAAGTCAGGACAAACTTGTGATGAGACAGTTTCAGCCAACCCATGTAAATATAGCTGGCTTCTTGAGTTCAAGTCCCTGAGTTGGCTCCATCTGAACGGCATCTTCACGAACACATGGCAACACACCTATGGCTTGATGGTGATTCTGAGTGACATGACAGATCTTCCCTCCTTCCATACTTACTGAGCTACTCTGAAAGTACTGTTTAATGAAATGGTTTTGTTGTTGTTTCAGTTTGTTATTAGGTTTTCTTTTGTGGTTTTTTTCTTAGTGGTACAAAATATGCTGAGTTCCATTTATGCGTGAATGAAGGAGTCACTGGTTTGGCACTGTCAGGATGGCATCCAGGTAGCTGCCTGAGAGAAATAATAGGTACACAAAAACAGATGTTTACACAGTGACTTGCTATAGTGTTTGCAAATCCTCTAGCTCACAGATTCCTCCTATACTGTTTTGTTTTGCAATTTAGAGCCAAGAGCTTGGCATATCTCAGGCTGTCAGTGTTGTCGCTGCCAAAGAAATGCGGTATTAAAGAGTCAGGAATTTAAAGCTGGTTAAATTCATAGGTTGGGGTGGTTTGTCAGGTCATATCTCTTGCAGAATTATGACTACTAATTTATCATTTGGGTACACACAGTGAGTGCAGAGGGGAAAGAGAGCATTTTAGGGGAAATCAAAGGATGAGATGCATTCTACACGTTTGCAGACCAACATATTGATGGCGTCACCACCCTGTCCAGGTCAACAGCTTGGGAAGAGCGTGGCAATTATTTGAGGCTCATGGAGTGATAGGTTTCAGTCAGTCTCTCCATAAAATAAAACACACCTTGAACCACAGAAGTTTAACTCAACTGAGTAAGCCAAGAAGAATAAAGCATCTTGAAAGCTGGTTAGAAGTTATACTCAACAGTGCCTGATGAACTTACAGAAGACAGCTGCGTTGAAACACTACAAAGTCTTCTCTTTGAAAAGTCAGTGACTTACAACAGAAAACTTGCCTGTTTGGAAAGGCTTAAAGAATCATTGACTAATCCTCATTAATTAATTAATCCACCAATACTTGGGGCCTCCTGGACAACAGACAAGATTCCTTCCCATGACAGTTTTAAACAACATGAGCTTAGAACTGAATAGCAGCCAAGTGTCCTCAACTTCCCTGGCTTAGCAGCTGGAAAGGTGTGGCTCTTTGCTTGATATCATCCAACCTATAGCATCAATTGCCTTTGCTAAAAAGTTATGTTTCCATGAGCCACAGAGCTGACTTGCAAGATTTAAGAATTGGAACTACAAAGTTTAGTTATTTGGAGGAATAAGTTCAAGACCTATTGTACCAACACAGCAATTATGGTTTATAGCAATGTATTGTATTCTTGAAAAATTAATAAAAAGAATTAGAGCAGTTGAATAATTGAAAGGGCAGCAGGAACTTACTGTGATTCAAACCCAGTGAATTGGAACATTGGTTCCCGGTTTGAGTTAATATTCCTGTGAATGGCCAATACTCAGAATGAATGAGTTGATACTCATTCAGATTCCCTCACTGTTCCTTTCTTCCCCCATGTTTTCTTCTACAGCTACCTCTTCTCTGTTCCTGCCATCTTTCTCCCTTCCTTCAGGCTCTTCTGTGTGTTTAAACTTTCCTTACCATTCTCCACTTGAGGCCTCCTGAGAGGCAGGTATTATAGGAGTTCAAAGGTACTTATCCTGCGGCCTAAGTCCTGGACTCTTGCCCTGGTACCACTTCCACACTTTGAGGCAAGTCACTTCCCCTGCTGTGGTCCTTTTCATTAAAATGTGATTTTTGGTACCCCTATCTTCTCCAGCCTCCTAACTCTTTAGTATGTATTTAGTACTTCCTATCAGTTATTAATTATGTTTGCAGTTCTTAATGTATAAACCAGATGAATGTAATTCACTGTAGCTCTCTGGAAAGACAAACTATTTGTATTTAGTTTCCTTTGATTGTACTTTTCCAAAAAAATTTTTTTTATCTCAATCAGATTTAAAAACAATAAGCCTATCACTGCCCTGAGAGATTTACTCAGTGGCCAGACAGAGTCTGGTCTAAGATGTAGCCAGTTTGTGCAGTTGAGACCCACAGTCTGAACCGTTCCAGGAACATGATCATAGCACCGATGCTCCATTAGTGTACCAGCCAGCAAAAAATACTTTTGTTAACAAGTTCATAGTTTATCTTAAAACATCCTATTATGGACATTTGCTTTTTGCCTATTCTGGGTCTTTGAAAGAGTACAAAATGTAATGGGTTTGAGGTTTTATTCTCCTCACCCCGACTCCTTGTTTTGGAGGTGCAGATAGTGAACCAAAAGTATGGGATAAGGTTAGGGACAAAACACCTAACTCTGTTGGCCTCTGGACTAATGTTTGAGTGAACGTGAAGGAAGCTTCTATCTTCATGGTGCACTCTAGCTCTGGTGTGTCCAGCCTCAGTGGTGATGGCAGAGCCCCTCAAGAGGTGGAATTTAGTGTAGAGGAGGAGCAGAACTCCAAGTCAAAGATGTCTTCTATTTTCCTTCCCTTCTGCATAGATACATGGTCTTCTCTAGGCCACAGTAATAGGCCCTTGTATCTTGGAGGGCAACCCAATGTTAAATCCACTTTGGATTCAGAAAATCTGGTCACCAAATTATGCTTTTCAGTTAAGGAAGCTGGAAATTGAAACTTTTCAGCTTGGTCCTGAAACTCCCACAAAGTCAACTCTAAATGGGAAATAGCTACACCTCAATTTAATGAAGTGCTTCACACCTCTTGCAGTGAGTTTGACTAGCTAAGGCCTCTGTACACTTCACAGACTTCTCCATGCCCAGAAGCTTGGCTTCCCTCAGTACTATGCCCACCTTCCACAAAGGATCTCCACCTCGGGATCCTCCTGGCCTGTGGTCATTGTTACTTCTCACAGAGGACAGTGTGCTTTGGATAGAACTGTGCCTTCAAAGTAAACTATATTTTCATAGTGACTTTCACATGCAGATGTGGAAGCCACAGGTCAGGTTGCAGGGGACCACTCCATTTCAGCAGTGCCTTTACAGGCAGTCAGCCACTGAGGCCCCGAGTGACCCACATTTGGGGAACCTCCTGCAGAGTCCCCTTTCATTTCAAGTATACCCATTAGCCACAGCTGCCAGTGGCCCTTGTCATTGCCCACAGCATGGGTTGCAAGCCACTGCTCGCTCTCTATAAAACCAGGACTGAGGGCCAGATGAGTGGCACCAGCTGCCTATTATCTGTGGCCTATGAATTTGAGAACTAAGGCCATATTCTTTATTTCATTGCCACAGGCCGTGCTCCTCAGTTGGCATCAAGGCAGGCAAGCAAAGGCAGCCTACACATTTCACTTGGTTTTGCATCTCCTTGAGGTAACACGCACCCCAGTCTCACAGGCAGGACCACAAAGTAATGAGAGACAGTATGAATGTAAACATGCAGTGGCATTGCCATTTTATGTCAAGTATGGAAGGCGGGCTGCAGAGCAAGAGGGTGAACAGGATGTCAGCAAACCTGCTGTTGGGGTTATTTTGAGTTACCTCTGTTCTTAAAATTCCTTTACAGCAGCCACATTAAACACAAACTCAAAATAAAAGAGAACTCACTCTTCATGCTCAGGTGCTTAACATGGGAACTTGGAAATACCATTGACCGAGGCCCAGAGTGTTTTCCCCTAAAAATAAATATAACAGTGAAGCAGGAAAGAAGCTACTGTGGAGAAACAGAAGAGGGCTTAGGGGTCTCCATTAGGGCCGTGATGCTTCAGTGTGCCTTGGTCACTGTCTTGTTGCTGGGACATAATACCCTACATGCACAACTTGAAAAGAGGCATATTTTGGCTTACATTTTCGACCCATAGTCACCAGCTCTAAGGCAAGATGGTTTGCTGGGGGTAAGAGGGAAAGCTGCTTACATCATGGCAGCCAGGAAAGCAGAGAGAAAGGAGGAAGCAGGGAGGGAGATGCACCTTCCCAGGTCATATCCCCCATGACCCATGCCTTCTGACCAGGCCTAATCTCCTAGCATCACATACGGCTATAGCATCCCTGATGCACTCACCCTTCAAAAGTCCCACTTTTAAGTCCATGGGGCTTTGGGAGAACATTCAGATATAAATCAGTATTCTACTCCTGACCCCCCAAAGACTCCTGTCCATTTCTTTATACAAACTGTATTTAGTTCATTTCTAGTAGTTGCAAAGGTCCT